AAAAAAAAAAAAAAAAAAAAAACAAAAAAAAAAAACAAAAGAAAGTCCTCAACTATTCAAAAGTTGACAACACTAGATGATTGTCTTGAATGACTGACATGTCTTACAGAAATCCTAGTGTTTGGAATGCTGGCTGGACTGTCTGCCAGCCAGTTCAAGTTACACCATTAAGCAAATGGAGAAAAACAGAGGACCTTTCGAAGTGCATCCTTTCACTTCTGAGATGTTGACACATACCAGGTACTTCAAAATTAACACTGGCTTTGATGTTTGCCAGTGAACACCTACCTGAGTCAGTGTTCTCAACATACCTTAGCAAAAGGATGCTAACAGTTTGAAGACCAGCATTTCTACAGTAGCCACAATAAGAGCAATGTAAGTCACTTAAACTGTGGACAAATTTAGGTGCCAAGATGTACAAGGGGTCTATTAATAAAGACAATACCAAACCTATTAACTTAAAATTACAGTTTCTGCTCCAACATACAATACTCACCAGTTCTGATCATAGTAACTTAAGCTATTAGTTCTACAATATTTGTTAAGAAGCAGCTGTAAGTTACAGGACAGCTGGTGATAAACCGAGTTGTTTTTTTCCGTAAGATAGTTGAATTACTTAACACTTAAACTCACAGCCAGTGAAGAGTCCAATACATTCTCTGTATATTTTTTTGGTATATTTACTATGGAAAACTGAATTTGTCTATTTTAGCTTCTCAGCATTTAAGCTTGCCTGACTTTGATGTCAGGATTAAGAAATGCTGTCCTCCTACTCCTCAGTACCAGTTATTTTTTCCCCATGTGTAAATATACACTCCTCAGTTTCATCTTTTTTGGTAATGAGAGAGGCAGAGCTCCTCAAAACTCATGTTGCAAGATCTACCATCCAACCCCAGATCTTACTTTAAACTCAATTTTTGCTACAGCCTTCTCAGATGCAGACATCAAAAATGGAGCACTTTTCTGGTAGTAGCCTTTTCCATGCTGTTTGGGAGGCAAAGTTCCCTACTTTTATGTATTGTTTCCCTTTGTACATGTTCAAGTACTTCATCGGGCTTCTAACTACAACTCTAAAGAATGAGCACTGACGTGGTTGTTTGGCACAAGTCTTTCTGCACTGCTGCTTTTTTTCTACCATGTACACAGTGTACAGACTTTGAGACACAATTGTTACCTTGTCATGATGTTTTTGCAGCTTTAGCTGTTCAATCTGATGATTCATATAATAATGGAACATTATCATATATCTATTTCTCTTTTCCTAACTTTACCAAACAGCTGACGCCTCCTATGCTTTTCTTTACAGATGACATACAACCATTTTTAAATAAAACTCTGGATTCCTTCTGTTAAGAAACTTATGAATGTACCAGGACTTTCAAGGTATTTGCACATGTAAGGCCTCCATCCCATTTTCTAACCCTATTCTAGCTGTTTCACTAGCTGCAGTAAATGCATCTGCTAACATCACCACCACTTCTTGAGGACAGAACTAATACATCAGTTATGTACAGTGGAACCTAAGTAGAAAATTATAGAAAAGACATCACTGATTCCAATTAGCTACAGGTTTTGAAGGTTCCTTACTAGAAAAAGGATCAGGCAGTCAGTGAATTAATTCTTTCATACAGTACAGCATGTACATATTAGCAAGAAGTGAGCCCCTAATCTCAGGTTCCTGGCAGTGGCACCTGTTACTGTGGAAGAGCTAAGAAACTATTTAGTCATCACTGGGTAAATTGCTTGTGTTCACTAGAGCAAGAAGTATTTCTTTGGAATGTACCTCAAAAATTCGTGCTTGGTATTAATATTTTCAAACAAACTGAATAAAGGCACTGTTGCTCAAGCAGTACATTTGTTGTCTCCAACTGTTAAAAAAAAATAAAAATGATTCTGAATGACTAGCTACTGTTGCCCTAAGAAGGCTTCCTTGTTACCTCCCAGCAATTTCTTCTCTCCCTATAAAAGCTTAACATAAAAATTGCTTTTTTCTGAAGCATGTCAAGTCTCACCTTTATATCTATCTCTATATCTAACATTATGAGTTAGTATAACAGTATGCATTATAAAATTATACCATTTACTTCAGACATGTCTGAACAGCTGAATCTTCAAACTATACAAAAATAAAGTGTATGAAATATTACAAAAGGAGGACATTAAGACATTAATAGATAATCAGAAAAAAAAAGTAACAATTTACACACAGCAATAAGCATAAGCAATGTAGTCTGCAACAGCTTTCAATTAGCAGGACCTCCGAAACAAGCATCAGCTAAAATTGGAACATTCCCAAGAACAATGACGTTTCCAATTTATTATCTTTGCACAATACAAACTTTCACAAACCAAATGTCCATTGTCTGTCAGTCTGTAAACAAAAGCTACTATCCCCCCTCCTCATTTGAAGAGGGTGAATATTTTCAGTCCTTAGTCAAGATTTATATCCATTGCTTGCATAAGGAATCAAGAGCCTCTTGTCTTGTTAAATTACTTTTTTTTTTTGTCATACAGCCTGCAGTGAAGCAAAATCACAGTGAAAGTCCTGGGAAAATCATGATCTTTACAGCAGGACTTGAACCATTCTAATAATAAATGCATCTAACAAAGCTTCCCATAACAAAAGCATGGCATTTCCATTTCCAGAAATCAAGTCAATTAGAAATCCTAAGTTCTACTTAAAAAACTCCCAAAAGATCTAAAAGTGAAAAGATTCATATTCTCAGACAAATACAAGTCTTTCAGTTTCACTTGCAGAGAGACTTTTCCAGTCTCTAAAACAGTAGTGCAATTCAATTAGTTCTACCTTTTTTATTTTTTCTTAAAGTCCAGTAGATAAATGTCCTAGCTCTACAGAAAAATAGGAAGATGCTCCAGTAAACAAGAAACTTTGGGAAGCCCAAGAAGGCTTACTAGTCCATTAAAGCTTAGAAGTCCACAAGTGGCTTAAAAATGGTTTACAAATAAACTTAAAAAAAAAAAAAAAACAAAACCAAAAAACAAAACAAAACAAAAAACCCCACAAACAAAAGAAACCCTAACAAAACAAACACTAAGACAGAGAAACTAAAAAAAAAGCAAAAAAAAAAAAAATAAATAGGCAGAAATGAATGTAAACTGTCTGAACTTTTTAATGATTTCTCATTGACAGCTGGCACAACCTTTGACAGTACAGTGAGTTAAATATAGTTGACCTACAGAGCATTCCATCAGGGCATCCAGTTTGGAATGCTCAAATGGAATTACATTCCTAAAGATTTAAAAAACAGAGTTCTTATAACACTACTACAGGCTTCTTCTGCCCACTTCACTTACACTTCTTCTTAAAGAGGCTTTTTATTTTTGATGGCTTTTTGTTTTTTTCACCATTTTGGTACAGGTCCTGCGGGATGCTACTTATCCTGGGGACAGAAGCAGCTTCATGGCTCGGTTTAGTATCACTGCTGGCTGAAGAACAGGAGGTGTGCCGAGGCTTTGGGATGGGGATCCCAATTGAAAGCTGGTTCATGCTGCAGGACTTCTCCAGGATTCCATTATAAACTTTGCTTGCAGGACTAAAGATCATGCTTTTAGTTTCTGCCATGCCTACACAGTCAGGAGAGCCCCTAGAAATATCTGCAGTTAGAGAAGAGGAGTCTCCTGTAGATGATTCTTCCAGGGAGCATTCTTCTGGAGATACTTTCTGAGAAGAAATCATCTGGTACACCTCAAGACTTGCTGGAGGAGACTGCTTCCTTCCAATGGATGAATTTAAGGAGTCACATTCCGAACCCGTTTCCTGTACTTCCCTGAGTCAGAGCAAAGAGAGGAGAAAACATAATGAAACTACTAATTCCTTAATACAGCTAAAAAAGGAAATTAATTTAGAATCAATAACATCAGCCTAAAAGCACCACCCACACTTTTCCTTAGTTAATTAACAAAAACCATTTAGTTAAATAGTTTATGTCACAACTTGCATTACATCATTTCATTATCTAAACTTAAGATAGTTAATTGTGCAATCTTGTTTTTGTGGGCAGCAGCATCTGCCCAGAATCAGTCATTTGTATCTCACTTCAAAGAACAAAAACTATCTTTCTGGCATGTGAAGTCAGAAAATTTATGAAATGAAAGAAGGAGATTTAAGCCTATCATATACAAAAAGTTCCTTCAGGACAAGTGTCCCTACCTTTCAACAAGCTCATTTGCTCCTTCCAAAAGGAATTTAACCTTTTCCTATGAGGCCATGTAACAAGAGTAGGTACACGCTCAACATGCTGTAAGAATTGTGTTACCATCCATCTTCTCTTCGCCCAGTAGCTGACATTGCTTTTGATCCTAGTTTCAGATGTAAAAGCCAGTAACATATTGTAATGGAGAATCAGGGTTAGTTCAGTGCACCCTGGATTGTAACATTACTTAACTGTATATGACATGCTAGCTATTGACATACACACACCAGACAAGAATTCTCTCTGTTCCATGTGGACTATATTAATTAATATTATCCTACAGATTATTTTAACTTTTTGCTTGGTTCAACCCCTAATTCTAAACTGTTACTCTCAAATAATCCTATCAGATTTCCAAGTGCTGTTTGCTAATCTCCGTACCATTGTTTATCAGCAGAGAAGTAAATGGCTTCCTCCTCGTCTTCAGTTCGATAAATTGCTGGGCAGCTTGACACAGAAAGGATGTCAGGGTCAGGGGAGTGCAAAGCATGCTGAGACTGTGGAGATGATGGCACAACATTGCGTCTTGATCGACACAAGCTACTGCTTCTTGCCAGTGTGCTGGGAGGTTTTACAATGGACCCTGAGGCAAAGAAAAAGCAAACCAAAACCCTCCAAGTGACATTAAAGAAAGACTGGCATCACCTTATACATTCTACAGTTAGATGAAGCTCTAACCAAGAAGCAACTGCAACGGTTTTTGTGCCTGCCAAATGTTACTCTGACCATGCGCACCAAAGTTCTGGCTCACTATGCTCTCCTGAGAACAAAGAGAAAGATTCTACTAAAACTTCCAACCCTTTTATAAACTAAAAATAGCAGTGCTGAAATTAGTATACTACACAATATCCTGTGTTTTACTTGTGTGGCGATTTGGAGCTTAAAAGAATATGCAAAGGTTTTGCAATGTAGATGTACCTAACCAAAAAGCCATGAAATAGGCTGCATTAGTTGAAAGTTACATTTCATGTATGTAACATCACACAAAATATAGAATTCAACCTCAACTTTAGCTCAAGAATTTCCTTTTTGGTAACACTTTTTTTTTGCAAGTCGAACTATGAATTTCTGTAAACAAAAATGCTAAGAATGGGCGGAAACAGCAACACAAGACTTGACCAGGAAAGTATCTAACAGGAAGTGACAAACCAAAATGTTCAAAATTCAATTCTTCCTTCAAAATATTATTAGGCAGCAATACTTCTATGGAAATAAATCTACAGACCTGTTTTCAGGCTAGCTGTTACAAGCCTCAGGATTTCTCATACCCCTCCTCAAACTGTCTCACAGAATGCATTACTGCCAGGTAAGACAGACCTACCCTCATGTTCAAAATGTTTACCAAACATTAAAAAAAAAAAAAAAAAAAAAAAAAAAACCAACCACAAAAACAAACAACAAAAGTCCCCCGTCGTCCCCCCCCCAAAAAAAAGTTATTTTTGTAGATAGTGATGTCTACATGACAGTTGCCATGTAACTCAAGCTTCTGATTTTATTCTGATGAACTCCCTACAGACCTGAAAAGCAGGGGTTCACAGGTCAAAAATAAGATTGGGTCATCACAAAAATATTCCTAAAAGCAAGTGTGAACTAAGAGAGTAAGCACCCCTTTAGAAAATTTATACTGTGTGTCGAGGTAAATCAGATGCCGTCCTACTCACTCATACTTAAAAAAAAAAAAAAAAAAAAAAAAAAAAAAAAAAAAAAAAAAAAAAAAGAACTAAATCACACCATCAGTGAATTTTGAAATAAATCACAAGCATTTGGTTCCTTGTAAGTGTATATTGACAGGATTATGAAGAATTCAGCTATAAGAATTTACCATCTAGAATTTTCTACTACAAATGAAACTCACTAGATCAAGAAATCAGCTGAATCCTAATCAGTCAATGGAAAAGTAGAAGTTTCACTATCACCTTCCTGTATGATTTTTTTCCAGTCTTGTACATCTATTTCTTTACGCCTTTTGTTCTTCAGCTCAGGACTGATTAAAGAGATTACTTCATGTCATTTTAACCCATCATCCCAACTGTTGCAGCACAAAGAAGCCTGTCTGGCAGATTTCCCCTTTTTGTCAATATTGAGATCAAATGATGTTGGGGCAAGGTAACTGCCCAGATTAGGGCTTAGGTTTAGGTCCAGAGACTGAAACAGTCGTGTTCATAGCTGACTTATCTGGATGTTGCATTTTGTCAGAAGCCTCATGAGTGAGACAAGCCATTTTGCTTCTGTCCTTCCTCATGTGCATTTGTCATTTTTGTCTAAAGGATGGGAATAATATAGCAGTCACCAAACTAATCTACAATAATTTGACTCCTGAAGTGGTTTCAACCACAAATCACAATTTTAAGTAGTGTTGTAAGGGGATTAATGAACTTTTCATTGTTGTCTGTAGAAAAAGTTTGTTACACTCAGAAGAAAAACACGCGCCCTAGGAACACTAAATGAAGCCAGCAAAGTGGCAATCATTCTCCTCATGCTGTTTGAAAATATAGTTCTATTTTCTTCTGAGAATCAAAGCCCTGGAAGAAAAATGTACACATATGACAAAGTTTTCTTCCCCACTCATTCCTCAGCTTGATATTGCTTGTTTAAATAGCTACATGGGAGCTCATCTTTTTGATTTGTCTCGAGTCCAGTTAATTAAAACTTCCATTAAACAGGCTCCTGTATTGATGTAATAACTCAAGATATGAGGGTGGTCTGCATCCCCAGTGTATATCCTCTGATCATAGTTTAAGCAAAGCTGGATTTCCTTCCTTCCAGCACTTGGCCTCTCTGCCTTGCTCTCAAAAAACCCACTGTATCCAAACACAAACATTCTGCCTGAAAGCTTCCCTTGGACAACAACAAGATTTTGTCCAGCCGCTAAAGAATGTTTTAAAAGCTATGTAGCACGCAGCGTCTCTAGGGTGTGATCTTCATAGTAGCTCAAGGGACCCTAGACAAACTGCATCCCTTCCATATGAAAGAGTTAAGTATGCTAACAGAAATTCAGCATTACTCATTATAAATTTTTGCCTAAGCAGCAATCCAAGCATGACAAGCAGATTTTCAAAACCTTAACTGGATTTGCCTTTCACTTCCCCACTGAAACGGAATAAAGACTTCTTCTTCATGTTATCTTTATTGGAAACCCCAGGTTTCAGTTCATGTAAGTCCCAAAAGATGCATCTGAAATGCCAGATCGAATTTTGGTCCTTTTGGATTTAATCCAATCCTGTTTGATTTCTGCACTCTTCTCCCATCTCACTTCAAAATCCCATGCCTCCACAACTGCTCCCCTTTCTTTTTACTTAGCTTACCACTTACCATAAAACTGTGAAACTATTGGAGGAGTATCTTCATCTAAGTCATCGACTCCCCCTGCAATCGGGTAAGGAGGAATGGAAACTCGAGGCATAACTACCCAGCTGTGATCAGAGTAGAGAGAGGAGGTCAAGCTTGGTAGCCCAGAGTTGTGTGCTATTTGAAAACCACAAATCTTCTCAATCTGTTGCCATCGATAAAGACGCTCTCGCAAACATGTCGTCAACTCAGAGAGTGCTTTCCTGAAGAAAAGCACACATGAAAGTTACATAGACTGCTCTTAAAGATAAAGCAAAGTAACACAAGTACAGTTACTCCAGCATACCAGAACATCCATTAGGACTGGCCAAATATTCACACTTTAATATCTTCTAAAATGATTTACTTAGAAGTGCAAAACCACTCAGCCACTAAATTCCATAACTCTCCAAAAATTCCATTGTTCTAGGAATAACCACAAAAGAGCACGCATCGTGGTAATACTCTTACTTTGCTTCAAGAATTTTATGGTCCACTTCATCCAGGGAGGAGCTATGTGCAACATGTAATGTTCCAAAAACAGTGCTTCTCTTCTTTTTTATCTTTTCTGCCTGAAAAGCAAGATGAAATGCAATATTGACAGGTAGCAAACAACAAGTCAGAGGAGGAAAAGTATCCAAATGTTTACCTGGATAATTTGCATTTACCATGTCATATATCTAGCAACAGATCAAGAAAAGTCTTTAGCTAGGAGTTATTACCTCATCTTTGGCGATTGCCAATTGCATTTCTGCATGCTGTCTTTTGATATTGTAATACTGTACTTCAACTTCATGTGTTAACTGAAGCCACTTCTGCAACGCTTCTGGAACAGACCAATTACTTCTCAGCTCAAACTCTTTCTCAGCCTTTTTTAAAGCCATGCGAACCTAACAATCAAGAAGAAATAAAAGTGTCACCAAGAGCATCATTAAAACTGACAGAAGAAAGTGAAATATTAGCACCTTTATACCCCACAGGAACATACTATGGCTTTACAGAGCTTTGGTGTGTGCCAATTGTTGTCAAGAAGGTGGATCTGGTATTTCTGAAATACAGCGTATGAATTTCCATATACTCTATTATGTATCATTTTTTCTATTATATATAGTCCCTAATTGGAATCTTAAATATTTTTAAGACAGCATTTTTATTTAGTACAATAAATCCAATCTATTGCTACTCAGAAGAGCAAGACAAAGCTATCATCTCTCATCTATTAAAAAAAAAAGCTTTTGTACATATATATATTTTGTTCCATGAATTCAAGAAGATTATGATAAGCTAATGTACAAAGTGTATGTCTTTTTAGGGTTTAACGATTATTTTACTAGATAATGGCATGATCAATATTTCCATTCAAATCTAGCATTAGAAAAATGCTGCTTTAAACACTCCTAAGGATCTATTAAAGCCAGGACCAATTTAAAGTCAACACTAAGATTATAAACATTTTGCAGATACCTGTACCAGCTCTTCCTCTGCATATTTGAGCCTGCTGAGCTCACATTCAGCTCCCTCCCTTAACTCCCTTAGGCGATGAGCTTCCCGTTTTGCATCATTGATCTCATCCATCATTTTGCGCTCCAGATTTTGCTTTTCCACAGCAACATTTCTATTCTCTTCTTGTGCTTTCTCAAGCCTTCACAATTGAACAAAAAATAGGAGAAAATGTACAGCACATATGTTAGAAGTTGCAGTCCTCAGAAGCAAATGTCTCCAGCAACAGGGCAAGAGGCAACAGGCACAAACCAAAATACAAGAGGTCTGAGCATCAGGAAGCACTTTTTCACCATGGGGGTGACTAACCACTGGCAACAGGTTGCCCAGGGAAGTGGTAGAGTCTCCATCCTTGGACATACTCAGAAGCTGCCTGGATATGGCAGCTAGACAACCTATTCTAGATGATCCTGCTTGAGCAGGTGGGGCTAGACAAGATGACCTCCAGAAGTCCCTTCCATCCTCAACCAGTCTGTGATAATAAAAACCATGCAAGCTTCATGAATCAACAGCAATTACAGACAATGTGACGTCCACATCAGACAAAACATGCAAACTTTTAGGTGAGTCTTCATTAAAGGTGTAATAAAATAAAAAGTCTTCTTAGACAATTGAGTTACAGATGCACCAGAGAAGACTATCAACTTTCACACACAAATACGCAATAGAAAGTAGAAAGTAATCAGTCCAGGTCTGCTTCAATCTCAAGAGATTAAAAACAGGACAAATGTTCTCATTTTCCATGTATCTAAGCATTCCAAAGTAAACTATAATTATATTAAAATAACAGTACATACTTCCAAATCTGTAGGTAAAAAACACTTAAATCTCTATTCTCTACCTTCATCCCCACACTCATATGGCCTACTAAAATATCCAGGAGGAATTCCTATCCAAAAACCCGTCACCACTGAAATCACAATTTCTATGCAAAATGAACATGAACAAGGAAACTGAATGCAAATAATTTATGACTGTAAAGGACCTGTATTTGTATTTAACCTCAAAACAAAAGAACAACTAAGCATTAGCTTTTTTAGTTTTTATACCTTTCCTGCAAGTCAAGAAGACTTTGCTCTGCTGTTTGGAGACTTTCTAAATCCTTCATCATTTTTGTGATATGTTCTCTTGAAGTTCTGTTCTGTGTAAATGCAAACCAGCAGCCTCCAAAACCAATAACTATAGAAACTGTTAATATAAAATCCTTCATCCAGTTGTGAGGGGGACCTGCACAGAAAACAACATGATCATTAGCTAATTCACTGATACAGACAACAGACTATGGAGTTTTTCCCCACCCTTTACAGCCTAAAAAGTGACAGAACCCGATACTAAACAAAATTCCAGCTTGTTTATCTCAAACCATCTCCAGCCTTTCAAATGGATTCCAGAGCATTTTCCATACAACATAAGCAACTCTGCTCTAATACAATCTACTTCATCTGCATAGCTCAGATCTGGTCTGACTTTTGCAAACTCATTCACTGCTCTCTAAACTGACCACCAAGCTCTGGAAGGGCCTCTTAGTTCAGGAATAGCCAACATGCACAGCACCAGTAACTGTGTACTAGCAAGCATGCATACCACTGGTGATGTGGTAAGGAAGTGTCTGGATATGCTAAAATGGATCAGATGTGAAACTGCTGTATTAAATTTAACTGCACTTAAATTCAAGTCTGCACAAAAGACAACAGTATTGGATTTCCACTACCATCTCCTTCTTTTCTTCCTTGGGGAAAGTCATCCCCTCTCATTTCAGCATCCCAGCTTACACTGTCCAAGCTAATGCAGAAGTGAATGCAACATTAGCTGTAAGCATAATTTTAACAGTAAAAAACTTTTAGAGTACACTTCTTGTGACACAAAAGCCAGTATTAGTCCATCAAATGGGGTTATACTAAAATTCCTACATAATCTTTGTCCTGATCCCAGCATCCTGATCGTCTGTTTTAATTCATTGCCCAGTTCCATAACACATGCCAAGTAACCTGTCAGTACATACACAAAATAGACAAGCTGTCCTACTTATGAAGTGCCACTGAAAATCCTGTATGTTGAATTCTTACAAACAAGAGATAAGACAAAAAAAAAAAATATAACAGAAAAAACCTTAAAAAAAATACTAACGGGTGAGAGGTCCAAATAAAACAACATCCAATGCTTTAAGCTGAAGCTTCTGTCTATGGCTCCGGTCAATTATTTTCAAGTGAGAGATCATGAAAGCATGTTCATTTACTGCTATCCTGTTAATGATAAGACAAAGTGTTACCTATTCCAGAAGCTATAATCAAAACCAGTCTATGGAAAGAAATACATCAATAGCATTTCCCACAGTTATATAGGTTATAGTTATGTAATTAGAGTGAGAGATATAATACAATGATAACAGTGCTGTTAAAAAAGCATATCAGCATGTGGCAAAGGAAGAACATCAAATCATTTCCCTATTTCTTTCTTTCTGGAATAATCATAAGACAAATCCATTTAGCACAGTTTGACATAATGGTATATTTGAAGACTTGTGACACCAACTCTCCAAAATACGTACAATACTCAAATTTCATAGTTATGCTCAAAAAAGGCGGTTCTGCAGGTAGTTTGAGGTATAACCATACAATAGATTGGAAGTAGTTCAAAAGGAAGTTCGCTACTGTACAAAATTGTGTCCATCGATAAAAGCTTCAACAGCAAGAAACAAAACAAAAACAAAAGGAGAATTTAGATTTTGAATTATTTTGGCAGGGAAAAAAAAAAACCCACCAAAAAAAAAAAACAAAAACCAAACCACAACCAAAAAACAGCCAGCTTTTCAAAACTGCAAGGATGCTACTCTCTTCTTGCATCTGGCTGTATCTTGTTAGACTTTATGCTCACATAGTTGTTCCCACATAAAGACTAAAGCAGCAACCTATAGGGAATTACTTGAAACTAATCCAGAAGAAACGTTCACCTGGGAAGTGTTGTTCCATTGACATTGCTGTCTCTAAAATTCTTTTCATACTGGGGCAGTTCAACAAATTCTGACAGCCACTGAAGAGTGTCCTCTTGAGTCCAGTTATGAACTGGAAGAAAAAGTCAGTTTAATTACCTTTAATTTTTGTAAAAATCAATAGCAAGACATAGAAGATAAGCAGAAGAAAAGCAGGTTACAATGAGCAAGAGGGTTTAGCCAAATATAACTGCAGAAAAATTAGCATTAACATTCACCAAGGTGTTTCTGGCATTTTGCCTTTTTTATCACATGCTTCTCAGAGGAAGCTTAGGCAAACTATAAACAAAAAAGCATGGAACTAATAGAAACATTTCTTTATTAAAAATTCCACAGAGTAATTTAGCTTCTTGCTTTGTTTAAATCAGGACAGCATCTTGTGACTTTGATCTGCTTAAACTGGTCTCGGCCTCAACCCTTTTGTCCATACTACCCCTGCAGAACTGAACACATGCCAGCAGATGGTGTAGCCATTTGAGGCAATGTACCAAAATCTTTCCCAGGATGACGGCTGAAGAACTTGTCTTCACAAGAATTTCCATAGAGGCTCATGCCTACTAACCACAGAATGGGAGCAGATGAGAGGAAGGGAGAAGACTGAAAGAAAATACCCAGATGCAAGAAATTTAACAGGAAAACAATTAATCTCTCTCATATATGCCCAAAACAGCTGTACTACATACAATGATACTCCCACTAAGAAAAAAATATTTAAGCGTGTAGAGAATAAACAAAAGTTTTCTGTATAACAGCAACAGTCTATATAAGCTTTCATAGCTAAGAAATACAACCCATGGAAATACTATATAAATACTACGCACACAAAAAAGCAGCCACCACCACCCAAACATTTCAGGACCTTACAGGCCAGCTGCTACAGCTTACAGCTTCACACTGACAAAAGTTGAAGGCAAGTTGTTCTCTCCAGTTACAAAGTCTGCAAAGGTTTGTCTGCACATGAAAGAAACAGCGACAGCCTCCTTCTGGACAGACATGCCTTTGCATGAACAAACACATTTTTTTAGTCTTTCCCTCCCTCCCCCCTAAAACTACTTATGACAATGCTGAGTAGATATTTCTTGAGAAACCTTATCACAAAGACTATGCTTAGTGATAAATTTTGACAATGATCCTTTAGAAAGAGCTGCTGAAAGTTTGACAGGTAAGCTGCAGGCAATGGAAAAATTTATGAGTTCACATTTGTATTTCAGTTTGCACTGAAATAAGGACTTCTCTGTCTTGTCTACACCAGTGTAGCTGACAAAAATAAGCTTAAACATTCCAAATTTTCATCATTCCCAGTAACTGAAGACAGAACACATTTCTCAGAGTCATTAATAGCTTTAAAAAAAAAATACATATATATATACACTCGCAATGCAAACCACTTGTATTCTGTTTGAATGGCTACATCTCCTTCCCAGAATGCTGCCCCATTTCCTTCTCTTCTTTTGAGCCACAAACTGTTTTCCAAGTATTGATCTTGCTACAGACTTAGTTTTGTCATATTACTCTAAGCTTTCATGAAAATGTCTGGGGTATATTTGTAAACAGATCATTTTCACATTGCAAAGATTCTTAACTGTTTTGTGAATAAGAAACAATCAGCTTTGCAAGTTATTCTAAGCATCTCAAAATGGTGGTAAGATCATCCAAAAAGATATTACCTTAACTGCATTCCAGAAATAGGGTCATATACTGATCCAAAGCAAAAGCATTGTTTTGATGTGACATTAGGAAAACACACCTAAAATAGCTACTATACACTACAGAGTTTTTCACTGACAGTGCAGAACACACAATTTCAGAAGACACACAATTCACTGCGTTTATAAATTGAGGGGGAGAGGGGAAAAAAAAGTACGGAGAAGTTTCACTTCTGCTGCTAAAAGTATTTTGTTGTCACTCTGTCAAAACTTATTTTTTTATCATTCAGTAGTAATTTGAAAAATATAATCATGTAAGAAACGAGGTACATACCAAAGTTGTTTACCATAGGGCCAATCAGGTCTGTTATACTGTTTAGACTGGCATGATGTCTCCTTCACAGAATGTCAAAGAAATTTCCCCAAGCAAATCATTTCTATTTAGGAAAAAGCACTTTACTATTCATTATCTATTACTGTATCAAATACTTCCTTCAGTACAGACACTGCAAAGAGAAGCAACTGAAGTCTCTCACAAACTAGAATCAGAACTTCCGGTATGTGCTTTGTCTTTTTAAATGGCCACTCACCATTTAAGTGAAGCATAATCAATACACAGTCAACTCTTCTGGGATTTCAATTTGAATCTATGCCCATGCACACATTTCACTAGAAATTTAGATTTACTGTGTAAAGTAATTCTGCATTAGCAGAATTCCTGTGTCAGTTCCCACAAACCCCCAACTTTTCCAGGTCAAACCAAACCCTAAACTACCATGTTCTCCCTTTCCTACAGCACCATAGTGGAGCCTTGGAAGATTGATGTACATCAGTGAAAATGTTCGGACTTAGGGGTATTTTTGTTAAGATCTTCTATATGCTATTTATTGGTAAGAAGTATTGCCTGACAATAAGACTGTAAGACAAGATATATGTTTATTGTATAACAACACTGAGAAGCAAACCAGCTTCAGTAGAAGCCTACTGAAACATGACACAAGTGACATACACCAGGTGTACTGAAAGGTGAGCAGGCCAGCTGAAATTCATCTCAAGCACTGCCAATTAGAATGTGCCAGGAGCTCCTACTAATTAGCTGAGGTTGTAACTTTTCCTTATTTTAATCACCAGAAAATAACACAGTGCTTCAGACAGTGGTGTAGCAACTGACAGTTACAGTAACTTAAAGCATATAACATTAGAGAGCAATCATAACATCCTTCCCTCTCACACCTGTCTCTGTAAATAGATATCTTGAGAGAGAGGATGTCAGCAACATGCTTTGGGCAGTCAGGTGTAGAAGCCACAGCGTTCGCACTTTAGTACAGCACTCAGTATCTAGACTTGCATAGGCTGTTTTCTATTTCAGATTACAACTTCAGATTGATTTTTCATTTGGTTGGCTTTGTTTTAGGTTGCGGGGAAGGGGGGGGGGGAGGTTTGGTTGGTTGGTTGTTCTGGTTTGTTTTTTAACTGCTGTAACAACACGCCTGAAGATGAAGACAGCAAAAGCAGCTTCAAACTTCCCCTACATGAATGTTGCTCCCTGCTAATCCACCTTAATGACCAATTAGAAGATCAGGCTATAATTTTTTCATGTTAAATTTATCACGCAGCACAGTGCTTCAGGGCAGGGAGGCATGAAGCAAAACAAGGTTACAGTGTCAGCCTCAGCTCTCTTGTGGGCCTCCTACTCCCCTCAAAAATCAAATTACATTCAATAAGAGAATTTCACAGCAAGGAGTGGATGACAGCCATCTACTAGGCTTAAAGTTGAGAACAGGCTGACCAGACAATATAGAAAAACCTGAGTTTGTTCTATATCAAGCACACACAAGGTTTCAAAAGTTAGTTCTGTTTTACCAGGGCTTCGGCAGCAACATCAGCATGAAATATGCTGCCACCAGTAGGTTTTTAAACAGCATGGAAAAGCACAAAAGGTGTGGCCCTGACTATCTTTTCAACAGTTGAACATTACAGCTCCCACAGAAGAGCCTGTCATCAGTACCATGCTGGCCCTGCCTGGAACAGCACACAGCATTATGTAATTCACCCTCAGCCAAGCCCTGCTTGCATGCATTTCCAGTCTCCAGATATTTAAAACCTGAGACAGCAACAATTAACAAAGTAGAAAGCAACCATAACATCATTGGCATATGCATTTTAGTCCCAGCTGCTGCAAGAACACTTGTGCACTCAGAATACAACAGGTGATCACACATACAAAGCTAAATATGTTATAATGTTAAAGAAAAACTACTTTTTAAGGCATTTGTAAAAACTAGGTTTTGGTAGAACTCAGATTAGTCTGACAAACTTTTCATGAGCTCCAGGACTGACCACTGAAGTTTTACTTTGCTACAAATAAGTCCCAAGGGACAATGCTACATCACCAAGAATGCAGCATCCTACCTATTCACCAAGACAGGTCAGAAAACTAACCAGCTGAAGGCCCCTGCATTGATTTTATAGACCCCCTTACTACTATTGAGACTAAATACCTAACACGTCTCTTCAGACAACAAATTCATATGATCTTAGCCTACTAGAGGGGTAAAAAAAAGAAGGCAGACACCCCTGCAGCACAGAACTTTCAAAGATCATTATAAAAAGACTGGTATTCAGATTTTAAAACAAACATTCATCTGTCTCCTTTGCTGAACTCACCTATCACTTCACCTCTTCAAGGCCCTTGTAAGAAAAACTAGAAGATGCAGCTTTAATTTTAACCCAACAATAACTACTAAGCTTCAGACTTCAGAATAGCTGAAAGGCTTTGTATATGTATAAACAGTGCTTAGATAGAAATAGATAAAGCAAATTCCATACAACAAGCATATACTGGCATTTACATTCAAAGAACAGACACACAATAATAGAAGTCAGAGGACTATCAGAAAGCACTGTTTTCTGGGCTTTAAACAGCTACACTATTTTCCTAGTCATTCCTCTAAATGGAACCCTCTCTGGAGATTACGAGATTAAAAAATTTCGGTGGTCATGAAAAGCACAAGTAACAGGAGCTAGCCCAAACTAAGTGACAACCTTGTTTTGTACTAAAGGACCAACTGAAATTGTGTGGAAACACAACAATAGGCTAGATGCTGATTAAAGTTACGATATGATTTCTTCCATGCAAGTAAAACCAATAGCAGCCTTGAAATTCCTTTAATTTGCACCAATACAGACTCTGCCTTAAGGATTCTACACCAGGTGGGGACTACCAAAAACCTGCCTAGTGCCAGAAATATTAAAAAGCAGTATTCTGAAGCTGCTTTTTTTTTTTTTTTTTTAATTTTATTAGGTAATCTTTAAAGCCTTGAATGAAGCCAGTTCTCAGGGTTCTATTCACTGCATGTTTCTCAAGCAATTGCTCAAAAATAATCCGTTTTTCTTAATCCTAAAAGGCAACACCGAACGGCAACAGAAAACTTACTATACCATTAACTGCACTTTCACTTTCTACCCTCACATCACCAATATCTTAAACAGCAAGCAACTTTAAGCTATTTGCCAAATACTTAAGACAAACATCTATATAAAGCTATATGGGAAAGAATGTACAATTCTGCTCAGGATAAACTAAGCAGCAATAGATCCAGAAGATGTTTCTGCATAAGCACTAATGGTCACTGTCAAGGGTACTACTTAGAGCTTGTAATTCTCACACAGATACCTCAGACTACTTAAAAGTTTCAAATTACTGATACCACCATTTACACTACCATCCACCCTCTCGTTTAGCGCTGTCAAATTGCACTGGTACTACAAAGTAGGAGCATGTAAGAAACTAACAAATCAAAATTCCTAAAAATATCTAGAAAGGAAAACTAGAATTTTCCATGTTACCTACTATTAAATGAAAGTAGTTTATTATTTGAGGGGGTTCATGCTTTCTAACGGTCACCAGATCACTGTTAGCACTGCTTGGTAGTCTCATTCTAAGGGCCTCCCTGTAGTGCAACTTTAGTTTCCTCAACAGCATGCACAGTAAAGCCATTATAAGCAGGCACAGTAAGACCAGACATTCCTCTCAAAATCTTGTGTGTCTTACTCACACTGCTCACTACATTCAAGAAACCTGGAACAAAGACATACACAGTAGACAAATTAGATACTTCTGATATTGCTATAGCCTGCGTTTTTGAAGACTTACTCTAAGTTAGACAAACAATCGCAGAGTAATAATCTTCTCTGATAACTTAGCTGCAAACACTTTCACTGAACAAAACCTTCAGTAAGTATTCACAGAATATTTGAAGAGACGAGGCTAGAAATCACTGGTTAAAATTTAGGTATTTACTACACAGCAAACACTTAACCAGTGAATTACCTCAGATTGCAATTAAATGGCTTCCTACATCGGATGACTCAGTGCCATGTTCCTAGTTTCATTTCTACTTTTAGCTGTTTGACTAATACCAGATCTCTATATGCTCACAATACATTCTGGATCCCTGGAAATTTCTTTTTCAGTAGCTACACCATGGACCATATTTGGCAGTGAACACTGTACTGCTCATTTAGTATTATCTTTTGATATTTGGAAAATTTGGCTCTATTTACTTCTTTTCATTCAAAACAAATTGGGGGAGGGATGGTGGTGTTGGGTTATCAGTCTATTTTTCTTGTATTCCAAGTTTAAAAAGATTTACCAAAATGCTTTGACTAAGAACTCCGATTCTTTGTAGTCCAAAGAAAATTTACATCTAAGTTGAAACACTTTCCACTTAATACAATATATCATAAATGTTTTAAAATAGCTTGACTGCCACCCTTAGGGCTTACTAAATTAAAAATGCGTTTATCTGGAATTGAGTGCTTGCAACAGTCACCATAAATTACAACCTCATACAGAAGAGGGCGTAAGCTAGCTTAGTTTACTTAGAGTACACCCAGCACATCAAGAGGAAATTCATACTAGCTGGACTGAATGTTTTTAAGTCAGGTTTACACAGGTCTGTAAGTAACAGTACCAAAACAGATTTGTGAAGATATTTTAAAAAAGTCATCCATTTACTACTCTAACCTACTTCATGGAAAAAGCACTGAATTATGTCTATGTCAATAACCACCAAAACTTTTAGCTATTCTTTACCTACCTTCAGATGTTTTCCAGCGTTTCCACAGATCCTCAATGGTGATATGTTTGTCTTCTCTGTGCAAGTGACTATGTTTATTAGAGGCATCCTTGTATTGCATATCTTCCCTTAGAAACTGAAGGAAAAGGAAAGCATCTTAAATGCTAAAATAACAACTTCTAAACAGACCTACAAGGAAATCAGGCATAGAGTCTGCTCTGCCCATGCAAGCAGTACACAATTCACATGAGTTGACCACACCAAAGACTCAGAAAGCAAGTTAAACACTCTTACAGGAACTGATTTTCACAACGATTAAATCCTAAATAAACTAGCAATTACTAGTATACTAGGTTTAACAACTTTATTAGTATGCCTTACATTTACAGTGATTACAAGAATGCACCACATAGTCATACTACATATTTCTCTATTCTGAACACCTTTAACCAGCTTCACCTACTTGAAGTCCATTTAAGATTTGAAAATGTACCAGTCCTTTATAAAGGAGTAATACCTGAACCCTGCTATACCAGATAAAGCAGATAAACTGCTTTAGGGTATGAAAAAAAAAGCTGTGACTAAATATTAATAAAGTCTTTTGGTTAGACAACAAAAAATTGACTTCTATTTCATCAAATTAAAAAACAGAAGTCCATCTTAGGGAAAATATTTTTCTTGCTAACCATTCCTCAGTGGTTACATCCCTAGCACAGAAGCATTAAACAAAGCTGTTTCATTCTCAGTAATTAATAGGAAGCCTATGTCAAAATACCACATTTTGCCTTTCAGGAAACATGATAAAAAGGAATAGCCTGGAATCCCATCATATATAGCAGTGTTGTATCAGTATTTCACAAGTCACTACAAATAGGTTCTCAAAATATATACGTGGTGGGGGAGAGGGGAAAGCATGGAACTGTAAACTCCATTTTGTTCTTTATTTCACACAGGCCTAGAAGAGTTGGAATCTTGGTTAGCAAACTATACCTCTCATTAATAGTGGAAACCTACCATAGATATCAGTCCCTAAAAGCACAGCATGAGCCATGTCCGTGGGTGGAGATCTTAATATTAGTACCAGAAAGCTAACATGAGAGCTAAGTCATCTTCCACAGCCGATTGCTTGCTTTCTTCATTTCCTGAAGAATAAAGAGGCCCAAACAAGAACAGCTATAGGCAGTCATGACACTAACTCAAAAAACAGCTTTTTATATGGCTGGTCATATGTCATCATCACCATTTCAAGCAGAGGTGAAGAAGAAAGCCAAGCTAGTGATGCACTGCAGGAGACCCCCACTTAAAATTTAGCCTTGCTTTACCTGCAAAGCTTCCTGCACAGATCCCATTTCTAACAAATCTAGAGACTAAGTTATTCGAAAAACTGAAAAGTAGTCAATTGTAAACCATAATATTAACTCTTAATAAAAAGAGGCAGTACATGGTAGCAGGAATATGCAAAAAAAGCTAACACAAATTCCCCTTATTAAAAACTTCAATCCTACTTGGAAGTATGTGAATCTAAAAACATGGGAAGGGATTCAAGTTTCTCCTCTAACTGCTAGACTTGGGATAAAGTACTATTTGCCTTCCCCAATCCAGTCACAAAGTCCTGTATGTTCCAGGTTGAACACAAACCCTCTCTCATTCATCTATCATTTCAAAATTTGTCAGACATCAGCTTTCTAAAGCCTTTTGATTCCTAGAATAGTTCCATTTATCCCATACAAATTGCATGGCACTTTTAACTCCTCTTCCCTATATATATGAGAAAGGCATAAATACAGGTATTTATACACACACACAGATGTATATAAATGACAAACACAGGAGAATTTATGAAATATATGAAAATAAATGAAAATAGCAGCCTGTTAGGGCAATTACAGAACTTCTGGAACACCATGGACTAGCAACTGTAAAAAAGTACAATAAGCACAGAAAAGGACTGACTGCTGTAGCTATATGCAAATTTAAAAATACTTCTTGCATATTCCATCATCAAAGTGTGAACTCTGAGTACTTCCCCAATTAGTACACTACTGTGAACCTGGCAATTTCCATAGCTAACATGCACATGCAATCAAAGCTGGACTACCTTATTGGTTCCCACTTTATGTTTATTAGAGGATAAATTGAAGAAAAGGAACCAAACAATAGGAAAACAAAAACTCATCTTATTCGCTAATGTCTCTCAAACTTTCCAGATTCAAGTACAGTCTCACAGCTGGAGGAGCAGGAAAGAACTGATGTTTGTCCACCTCACCTTTTCCCTTCACATTGCAAGTACATACTATCAACTACTATCCCCAGCATGTCTTCTGGGAACAACATACTAAAAGGACAGCAAAAAATACATTATAGTGCTCTCCCTGAAAAAGCTATCTCGCTTCATATGGGGGTTAAGGTACATGTTAACACTTTTCAGCTTTCTAGTGAGTGGTGATGCACTGCCCTTGAAGACTTCAAATGTCAGGTGTTAACATTCATTTTGAAAATAAACATCGTAGGCAATCAAGTTTCCGAAGAGGAACAGAGTGAGATATATACTGCACTCAAAAGGTTTCAGCACATTTTGCATCTCCTCAGCTAAAAGTCATTTCAGATCAGTTTTATTCTTAAGAAATAAACTCGATTCCATCTTTACTGATAGTTGTCAGCAAAGGTTGTGAAATACTTCAGGACAAGAACATCTGAACAGTTGCAGGTGCTGTCAAGTAAAATCTGAACTGCTGTTAACAATACTACATACAGGAATAAAGAAGATGCCAAATGATATACCAAAAAAGCTTCAAGGTGTTACAACTCACCCCAAAGCACTATAAGGTACTACAAGAAAGCATTCTGATTTTTAAAATGGGACTGGCATGGGTTACCTTGGCACCCAGATAAGCAATACAAACAACAGTTTGTGGGAAACTTGCAGCATTTCATGTCGTTCTGCTACAGAGCCCGCAGAGGGAGCAAGAGTTAACGTATAAATTCATATTCTCAATACAGTGTTAGAGCACAGTCTGCTACAGGTTCGGCGAGAGGGGAACGAAAAGCCCGATTTTAAATTTCATCACAAATATAGAAAACAAATCCAAGTTCAAAACACAGTATTTCCTGGGAAAATAGGACGACAGTGGAAAAGATCTGGCTTATACCAAGAGGCTGCTCAGAATATTTGACTAAGTCCCTTTTTTAAAAAGGGGCTGTCAACATACAAACTTGTAAGCAGGTTCCATTTAGTGATCAGAATGCAGTTACTCCTCAGGGAAGAGATTATGCGCTGGTGAGAATTTCTTCAGGAAAAGAAAGAAGCTCCTCTTCTGCTCAATGCTACCCATATTGCTCCCAGATCCTGTGAGAATAATCACGACTTTCTCAGCGAGATTCTCTAACACCAGATAGTCACAATGGTACTTACAATGTGCACAGCTGGAAAGAGGAAATCATGTTTCAAAGAATGAATGCATTTACTAATGAAGAGCTATGACATGAAACATTGCTCTCCTGTTTAAAAGATCTCTGTTTCATAACTGGCCTAATATGGAAGTGTTCCTTTAAGAAAAGGAATTGTGTTCTAAATTGAAAAAAGCCATAAAAAGAGGATTTTTCTGTTCTTTGTCATGGCAGCTAATCCCTCTTCTGTTGCCCTGGTCGTTAAGTATACAAAGAAAAGGTTAGAAAAATAACTTTAAATGGGGAGGTTAAAAGAATAAGCTCTAACAAAAAACATCTAAGAATTATCTCAGCCAACATAATTACTCAAGAGGAAGAAAGCCTTTTAAAACTACTAAGTTGAAACAAAGAAAGCAGCAGATAAGATACCTTAATAGTGTGAAAGAAAAAAAACCATTTGTCAAAGTAGTTACTTCAAAAACAAGTAAAGCAAGAAAAAAAAACCAAAAAAAAACAAAAACAAAACAAAAAAAAAAAACACAAAAAAAACCACCAAAAAATCACACCTAGACTCCAAACTGGAGCTTTGGTCCCAAAAGTACCATTACAACTGTGCTTCTACAAAGATTCACACCCCAAAGCCCAAG